GTGCAGATCTGATATTTAATGTGCAAGATGATTTACAAGTAGAACAATTTTTGGAATATCTGAATAGGAATAGATAAAATCTCAATTTCACTTGAAGAGTCTGTGAAGAGAGACCATTTGGTATGTCAATTTAAAAGGCTGTAAAGAGAAAAAGACCATTTTAATGGGGACATTTAGGAAGACTATTTCTAGGAATTCCTTTTTGCATGGAAAAAGTTGCCACCTTGCACATGTTAAACAAGCCTTACAGAGAGGGCAATTTATTAGGGATTGTAGAAATTGATCAGCTTTGTCTATGTATGAAAGAGAAGCTGAAGAATCAGGAGCCAGATATCAGAATAGAGAGTATGATAGAAAAAGTATGGAGTAAGAATATACTGTATACATGCCAACAACAGTAGTAGAGAAGAGCTATTGAAAGGTAAGAGAAAGAACATACAAACAGAAAGAACAGAACCATGTTGTCTTTATCACTAGCTGTAGCATGGAATTTAATAGAATCAAGGGGGTTTTACAAAAGTATTTACTTATGCTGAATAGAGGTTTACGTTCTCAGAGACGTTTGAGTAGAGGAGTACTGTATTTTTTTGGCCAAGTGGGCTCCAACTTTGGAGAATGTTTTATTTTATAGTGTGTTTAGATCTGAGAAGCCGGAGAGTAAAGCTGGCCATATTCTGTTAAAGTTTTTTGTTTCGCCTGCAGGCTGAACATAAAAACTCGTCAGATTCCTCCATCCACCCTAAACAGTGTGGCTATTGTATTCTGATAGCTGTCACACTACCCGAACAATGACTGCAACTGATTGGCTTTAGTCACTGTTCGACTGAAAAGTTTCTCCCCAAATCCTTCAGTTTTCTGCGGCTACTGACAGGGCCACCTATGGAGAAATTTCCGGCCAGTTCATGAAGAACCAGCGGACAATTGCTCAGTGTATGTCAAGCTTAACTTGTAGAAGCAACGTAAAGTGAGAAATGTAAAGTAAATATGAGTTTTTAGGGTGCTCTTGTTGTGTATATGGAAAACAATTCCCAAGAGGTGGTTTCTTGTGTTATGGTTAAACTCTTTTGGATCAAACAGTTAGTGAATGGTAATACCAAACACATCATTTACACATAAATGTGCATGACATGTAATATGTTGGTCAAAGGACCAGAAGACGTTGTGATATGTTTTAGTCTTGATGGATTTGTATGGTGCCCTGCGTTGAAATTCGTTGTAATGATCATGTGTGCATTTAAAAGCCACCACCCACACCCTTTTTTTGCCCTTACTCTACGATGAAATCCAATTATGGTTTAAACACATTAGAGGGAGAAGCTCAGGTAGGTGGATGTGACTTTCATTCTCAACAAATTTGTACACAGAGTTTTTTTTGGCGTTTTTGGACTGTGGTATGAATTTATTTTCTAAGCAATGTACTGGCTGGTAACGACAGACTTGGAATCATAACCATCACACACAGTGAAGAGGGGTTTTTAAGTTGAGATCTAGAGCTGAGCATTTTGCTTTGTGAATTGTTACCCACTGGTGCGTGTCCTGCATGGCCAAAGCACAGGACTACCTACAGAGTTAGGTTTAGAGATCAATGTAGGTTTAGGACTACATTTTTAATTATGGGTTTTGGTTAAATTTAAGGGTTCATTTTAGAGGAAAGTTTAGATTATAATGGGGGTAATATAGTGTAGGCTTAAGGTCAGGGTTAGGCTTCTGGGTTGGGCCAAAGATTATGTTAGGGATTTTGGTGTGATAAATTCATTTTCAGATGTAGTAACATTTTTCCCACCCGAAATAAGCAATACAGTTTGATTTAACTAAAATCTATGGGCCCCCAGAGGATGCTTATCTACCAAAGTGATCCACTCCAGCACTGCGATGTCAGTAGCCCCTCCGGGCTTCCATCTTCACTTGGTCTTTTCCTTAGTTCAGAGTCTTCAGCTGATTGAATGGCCAGGGGCAGATTACGTAACCCCAACACATGTGCATGGGAGTTACATACACACAGAATCTTGCCAAGAGTGTACACTGAGCTGCACAAATAGAAAAAAGTGTGGCCAGATAGGTAGCAACATCTATCATAAAAAAACATGTCTGTCAGCACGTTTAAAAGAGTCTTTACTACCGCTTTAAAGTGTAGTTCCACTTTTGCAATCAAATTTGAGAAACCCCCACTATTTGTTTGTTATGTGTTCCCATTTAAACAATGTAAAAAAATTGTGGAAAAAACATTTCTTACCTTTCTAGTTGTTTTTTTGGAGCTTGCTTATACATAGGACTGCAAGCTATTCTGAACCATTTCAAAGTGGGGAGAGACTGAGGGAAAGTGCATTAACATTCAATGCACCACCCAAGCCTTGTGATATTTAGCCCTTAGTTAGGACAGATAGTTTTCAATCTAGTTTGCAGCTGATAATGAAATCTACCAGCACACTATAGACAGGGTTAATTATGGTAAACATTAACTTCCCAGCCCCCTCCTAATATTAAATGTAAGGGGAAGCTAAGTAAGATATTTATGCAAGTAAAAAGGTAAGCAGCACTTTTTAAATATTGTTTACTTAAGTGAGTGTGAACATGTAACACATATAGGAGGTGTTTTTCCTGTTTGGCTGCAAAAAGGGAAATAGACTTTATGGTCTTCAAGGCACCTGCTCTGTATATTGTACAATTGACAAGGATAAGCAGGTTTTGAAACAAAATTGCATTTTTCAGAGACACACAGGAGTTAACTGTCAATAGCTAATGGTTTTACAAAAGCTTTTTTTCTATTTTTTATTTAAATGTTTAAATTGGTTTCTATTTCACCAGAGTCCTTCTACACATTGTATTGAGCAGTGTACAAAGCATTTATTTTCAGAACACATGTAAAATTTACCAAAATAAGATCTATTAAATTTAAAGCATCTATACATAAAAACCAGCGCAACAGTCACAAACATGCTGGTTATTGTTATAAGAAATAGATTAAGAAAATAAAATATTTCTAACATGTCAATTTCGAAAGAAAAATCAGTAAAATAATATAATCTAGCTATATTCTTTATGTTTTAAAAATAATTTTAATATGTATATACAAATAACATATCTATTTAAAGCTCCCAAGACAAGCATCAGCAATTCATAATCCTATACCTAACAATAGACAATTAGTATCCATATCAGTTTGAATGGTTAGTAAAAGGCAGCCCATCTCATTAAAATGAATGTTGCCATTTTTACTGATGACCAACCTAATATCCATATACAGTTTTACTATTTCAATAGTCTTAGAAGCCATTATTTGTGCTGTTCAAATTCTCAGATAATAGGTGAAGGTCTTAAAGACCTGAAACTGCCATTTCTATTCCCTAGTCAATAAATCTAGTGGTGATCACAGCCTTTTCCAGATGCTAAATCGTTTGTTTACAACAGCGCATTATTTGTGTTACTTTACAGAGTTCATATCTATCATGATTAATAATATGTAACTAATTATTTAGGTGTCCATTTAAAAAATAATCTAAAATTACCATGTAAAGACCAAGTGTTTACACCCCCTTCCTGGCCAGGCCAATTTTCAGTATTCAGCGCTGCTGTACTTTGAGACTGACATTTATTCATTCATGAAACTTTTTTTTTAAATTCACTTTTTTTTACTTTTTTTTTCACTTAACTTTATTGTTATCACATAGGGGTCTAAGAAGTCCCCTATGTGATAACAAAGAGGATGTGACAGGTCCTCTTTATGGAGACATCAGGGGGCTTTAAGACCCCTAATGTCAGTTAGGGACCCCAAAGAAGCTTCTCTCCAGCTTCTGAAGCCGGAGAGTGACAGCAGAATGTGGAAGTGATGTAATATACATCATTTCCTGCATTCTGACATTGGAGAGGAGGGAGATCGTATGCTGATCTCCTTCTGATCCTCTGTCACAGAATCGCCATGCCAGTCCCATGCCCGCACCGGGCACAGCGGAGCTCGGGACCAGTGCTGTGGAAGGGGGGCGCACCAACCTGCACCTCATACAAGCGATCTAGCGGCTCTATAGCCACTGGATCGCTTGTAGGTAAACAGGCATCGTTGCCTTTGTAAAAAATGTGACAGTTTCCCACAGTGCACATGAGTGGGCAGGGATAACAGGTTGTCTTTAGACACCCTGTTACATCCAAGAATCTCCCGCACTGCCATTTAATTACAATGACCAGCTGGGAAGCGGTTAAGAGAGAAATAACCTCCATTGGCCATGAAAAATTTGTTTTGTCTGTAAAATGTCCAAAAAAGCAATTTATTGATGCTTTTTAGCTTTGCATATTCTGAATGAACTTGTTACTTTCTATAATTGTATTATTATAACCTTATGCCTTAGCCAAAGTACCATGTAATTAGGGATTAAAGCAGTATTTGTGGCAACATTTCAGAATATGAATTAAAAATCAGTTAAGATATGGTAATACTTAGGGTTTAGATATATACTTTATGAATGTGTGTTCTTACTACCACTGTAGCTAAGACCAGCCAATATTATGAAGCAGGGCAATGTCAACTTATATTTAAATTGCTAACTAATCAACACATATTTAATTCAACAATGATACCATCCAAGATCTACAAGTCCTTACTAAATTTTGCTGTTGTGATTAATTTAAATAACAAATATATCATTATCAAAAAAAGTGTAAGGTAATTTGTCACGAATTGGAGGAGCACATTCATGCATTCCTATATGATGTCCATATGTATAATTTGCTTGATTAAATGACCGGCAGCTTTTACAGTTGTCAACACCATGATTGTTGACTGTAGTTTTTTCATGAGTCGTTCCATATGCAGAATTCACTTGTGGATGTGTATGTGCGTAGAAAAAGAAAAACACACAACCACTATTAGCTAAAAATCTAATGTCTCCAATTAAGTGCTTTGGAGGTCTGAATCTTCTCACAACAGGATATGAAGTTCACACAAGAGACAGACAAGAATACAAGTTAGTTCATTTCTTTTGTATGTCATTACAAAACTTGCAGGTCGTCTATGCAATTTGGCATACTCCAGACTTAGCCGAGTTGTCATTAGCTGTGGAATATCTTCTGACATCATTTAATTCTGCATTTAGTTCATCATAAATGCCAGTCTCAATCATTTCCTCCTGCCATGGTAAAGGGATATTGCCTGAAGCAAACTCGTCAAATAACTGCTTGTCATTTTCTTCAATGTTGACCCCTTTAACTGTTGAAAATGCCCCAACATCCTGAATATCCTTTGCGTAGACAGTTCTTGAGTCAGGGGTGAAAGGTGGTAGAAGAATACCTTTAAAAGTGAACAAAAATAAAGATTAGATAAAAATAAAACACTGGTATAATATAAAATAACAGCTGTAAATATCTACTTGTCGAAAAATGTAAGGTGACACTGTAAGAAAAAAAAAAACTTGAACTATGCATGCTTACAGTACATGCCTGTTTCTGTCCTACCTTAATGTTTCTTCCCCATTACAGGCTAAATTTTGCACAATCTAATAAACCCTTACCCCACCACACAAGACTTTGCTCATGACTGGCAATGGACCACTCAGCCACCAAGCAGTGCCCTGTGGGTGGCAGGAAGCTTGCATGTGAGCCCCATACTCAGAAGTAGCACGTAATTGCTGGGTAGACATGTGCGATTCGTTTCGTTCCGAATCGAAATTCGGACATTCGGATGTATCCGAATTCCGAATTACAGACATAACGAATGCAAACGAATCCGAATTTCCATTTCCGAAATTCGGTAGCTTTAGTACAAACGTTCGTTTCGTTTTCTGTTCTTATTCGTTTCTTATTCGTTTCGTTCGTTGGAGCAAAGTGACATTAGAGAAGGAGAAAAATATTTTTTCCCCCCTCAAATGTCACTTTTGCTGCAAACGAACGAACGAAACGAATAAGAAACGAATAAGAACAGAAAACGAAATGAACGTTCGTACTAACGCTACCGAATTTCGTCCGAATTGACTTTCACACCCGAATCCTGAAAAACGAAATAACACAAATCCGAATTTAAAACGAAACGAAACTAAACAAATTTTTTGGCAGTGCACATGTCTATTGCTGGGTTATGGTGGTGAGCAAATAGGGTAGAAGTAAGAATAGGGGCCTAATGGTGCCTGATATGCAGAGGAAGGCACAGATTGAACTAGCCATAAAAATAAGTTTAAGGTGTAGCCCATGCATGGTTGCTATATTGATGGAACACATCTTCCTGCCAGGGGTTAATGAGCACAGTCTGTACAGATAGTGTTGAGGCTGAAAAGAGACTTGATTAGTTGCCACTGTCTAAGATCACTGCAGCAGAAAATGAATGAATACTTAAATGCCTGAATACCTAATATGGATTTATTGTATTTATCTTCATTTTAGTTGTTGTTTATCATACCCCTTTATTCATTGAACTTGCCTATCGTACCTATTCAGTAAAGCATTTGAAAAAACCTTGTGCTGGTGTGCTGTGGACCCATAGAAAGTGGTTCATCACAGAGGTGAGACAGAAATGCCGTTATATCCAGCGGCTCAATTGGGGGTGAGTGCTACACATGGGAGCTTGTCCAGTATGCCTTCTGATACCTTCTGATGCCTCTCGCAGACTAATGATTACACCAACGAGCAAAGTAAATACTATGGATCCAAACACAGTAGTAAAATGGTGCAGGAATCAATGTGGCCAAATAGGGCTAAGTATAGTGATGGACATTCCTACTGACATGTGGACGGGGAACTGATCCGTCAGACCATAACAGCACTGACACCTGAACAATGGGGTCTGATAATAGACATAAAAGTGAACTCAGAAATTACCCATACCTATGTTTTACTAGAATGGGAGAAGGGTATTTGTGCCTGCATCTAGGGTACAAGTGTGCAGCTGATTAGTGTTGTAGAAGCCCAAATGATCCAACCAAACAGAGCAACAGGCAACCCAGAGAATACAAGTCAAGCGACACCGATACAGAGTACCTTCTCCTCTAGTCCAGTAGCCACCATAGGACCAGAGTTTATTATGGCAAAAGGAGACCTTATGTCAAAATGTCAGAAGAGTAACCCCCCTATACTGCGTTTGGATACAATCTGCCAGTATCAGCAAATAAGGAGAGTTTTAAAGAATGGATCGAACAAGCAATGCAGGCTCTGCATGAATATGACATCCCAGAGGCACAGAAGAAACAGAGAATCACCGAAAGCTTAAAAGGAACCCGCCTCAGAGGTCATTCAAAATCTTAAACTCCGCCAGCAAGACTGTACCGCCCTTGACTACCTGATAGTGGCTAACTGAGAAGGCTGCCAAACTGACGTACCAATATGAACACACCTATTAACAAAAGGGAGAGAGAGAATGATAGCGACGAGGAAGTCATGTATCTGGATTGGATGTGACCATCCAAACCTATAGACACTAGTCCAACCATTCTCAAGTGGAAACCTCATCCCCTGAAACAACAGTGCTAGAGGATGTTCCTGTTTAGCCAGTTGAAGAGAGAACTGAGACCTCTCAGCCAACACTTCAGTCAGAAGATGAGTCTGCAGATGAAGGACAATCAGAGTTTCAAGAAAAAAGACCTAAACGACTGTGCAACCCCCTCTGAGACTCACTTATGACTCATCCAGTCATAGCACAAAAGAAGCTACGACTACTGTGCATAGATCACCTGAGGTGTCTGTCCAGAACACAGAGGTATCAAAGGGCTTGAGCCCTACACAGGCCATCAGCACACCTTGGTGGGGGTTCTCTCTACCCACTTTATTTGCTAGGCAGTGTCATAAACTGAGTCTATCTGCACGCAGTAAATATATTTTGGTGGGTGTTTAATATAAAGTCTTTGTATCTACCATTATTGCTACTGTGGGTAAAATTTGTAAATACAAACTACCATTTGTGAGGACCCAAAGATTTTGGTGGGGGGGAGAGTGTAACCCATGCATAGCTGCTATATTTCTGGAGAACATCTCTCTGCCAGACGGTAATCACCACAGTCTGTACAGACAGTGTTAAGGCTGTGAAGAGACTTGATTGGTTGCCACTGTCTGAGATCACTGCAGCAGAAACTCATGGGAATTGTAGTTCTGAGACAGGGAGAGATAATGCTGGTGTTAGCAGAATAAACTACAGTTCCCAGGTGGCTTATGTAACTAAAGGGAGAGCTGTGTGACTCAGCCATCTTCTGAAGCATGGGGCTGATAGATTGCTGTGAGAAGAGCCACAGAAATCACTGCTATCAGAGAGAGAGAGAGAGAGAGAGAGAGAGAAAGAGCGAGAGCAATCACAGGGAGGTCTGTTTCTTCTTCCAATCCCATAACACCGCTAATTTGAGAGATTTATTTGCTGCATCAGAGACTGACACCACTGCCTCTTCTGGACGTTCGTATGCTGCTGTGCCCATGTGATTGCTGCTGCCAGAGAAAGAGAGACCATTTGCCTTTGCATTGGAGCCTCATCACATAAGTCCAAAGAGCAGCCGGCTTGAGATGGAGACATCCTTCTTGCTGGCCAGCGGGGGAACCATCACTCAAGCCTGCATTCTACAGGAGTGGTGTGAGGCCGATAGCCACCTGTTATTGCTGAATTTAACTTGTGCATGCAACAAAGTTTGGGCCCACAATGCCAGCTAACCTAAAGGTACCACTACTGGCAAGTACCATAGGTAGCTGGGGGCATTCTGGACTGAGTCATTATTAGCCCAGCTTAGCTATAACCATGGGTGTTGTTTCAGTTAGCTCAGTATCATCTATTGCCGCAATTAGATAGATGTGGCTTAGGTGTGCCTGAAAACTTAAGCTGGATTTATTGTATTTATGTTCATTCTAATTGTTATTTATTATACCCCTTCATTCAATAGTCATTGAAACAGCAGAATTTACACATAAGGGGCCCATGGGCTGTGCTGCAGTACTCCTGTGCTAACTTGGAACATACAAATAGGAGATCAGAGAGACAGAAATTAAATCATCTGTCGGCTGCTTTCATTTCACTGTCCAATCACAGGCCGAGGGAGGGACAATAGCTCTAAGTGTTACATATATGCAGCTGAGAACAGGGATGTGCTGTGTGGCAGAACTGTGCACAGTAAATCTCAAGACAGGATGGACAGAATTAAAATGCTTTGACAGATAAAACAGCTGCCATATATGTATTTCACCTGTGTATTCAGTTGTTTAGCTCTAAATTTAGATTAAAAAATAAAAGAACCCCTTGTCTACCAGTGCCGTTTATAAACCACAGCTGGTAGCAATGGCTTTTAAACACACTCCTTGCTGACTGTGACTGTGTTAAACAACTGTTGGCTTTCGGCCGTAAGTGACTCAGGTGGCTGTAAAGCCATACGATCACTTCAACATACTACGGAAGTTGCTGCTCCCCCCTACCCGACTACCCCCATCATGTATCCCAGGTTCTGCTGTCTCTCCTGCAGGCCCAGGGCTGCCATGGCAGATGTTGGTGGGTAGAGCAGAGGGAGGTCAGAGAACATCTATTCGCTGATCTCCGCTACAGTGAATAAACCTGGAAGCAACAAGCATTTTGTTACTTCTGGGTTCATAGCTATCATACTCTGCAGCGCAGGCCAGGGAAGTAGCTGATCAAGCACAATCTGTTTGACATGTTTGATATCTCTTTACTCAGGGCAACCTCGTCTTTTAAATTTGATCAAAATATTGGGTAATGCAATAATATTAAATTTAGTGTATTTTTTAGTGAAAATATGGAATTGATAAACATGCACACTAATATCGTGTTTCTTATTTTGCTAATATATATTTATATAATATCATTGTTTTCCACAGTCTCTGCTTTCAGAAAATATATTATGTTTGGGGGTTTTAACTAATCTACAGGCCTAAAATGTGCATTTTAACCTGTGCATAAAATGCAAAAACAGCTGCAATAGCAAAAGGATTAAGTTGTTATATAACATACAGTATATTGTGAAAGAAACCAAGGTTTTTCCAGTGCATTATTGTGTATCAGACCTACCAGCTTCAAGCTTCCTCCAGTTTATTTCTCTGAAGAAAGGAACTACACGCAGATCATTACAATTTCCATTTCTAAACCCGAGCCTTTTCTTTGCATCTTTCTCCAGTAAGGCTTCACAGAATGATTTACACTCATCACTAAACTTCTCTGTGTATGTTACTGCATCGTTTATGATTCTGCTCTTTAACTCCTTGGGTTCGACCTATTATAACAAATAAACAAAGGCAAACAGTATAACATTACTCTACAAAATTAAATGCAAGATCTATTGTCTGGATTACCATGGGTATGGATCTAGTTGGCTTAAAATTGCTCTTTAGGTTAATGTTTCAGTTTTTGTCTGATTTAAAAAAGGAGATGCTCCCTGCTTATCTGATGATGCCCCTGAGCCTACAAAGAGGAATTACATCTGGCAAAAATCACTAGACAGGTCTGAAATTGTTACTCTGATTTAAATATCTACATAAATGTACATAAATGTCCTGGTGGTCCAGTGAGGTCATTACAGAACTGCTAAGTTTCTATAATGGGAACCAATATTTATATCCAAATATGACCATAATCAAATAATAAGGGCATATGCTGTCATTACTACACTTTCTGATCAACATACAACAAGGATTTGCAAGGATTGGCAATTCCAGTGTACCACACTCACCTTGTCCCCGATTCAGCATGCAGCTGCCATTGATTCTGGATTCCACTCAGAGTGCCATAGCTGCAGCTCTTGGGCGCCATCCTAAAGAGCTAGGCAGTGTGTTACTGAGCATATGAGTAACACATCACTACCCCTAAGCCAAGTCTCCTCGTGCCTCCAGTATCTGCTCCTGTGTTCCCCGTGCTTCCACTTACTGAACTCCTGTGCTTCCAGCGACCTCTGCACTCCTGTGTCTCCAGTGACCTCTGCACTGCGGGGACTTCAGTGACTCTGTGACCCTTGTGCACTCCTGTGATCACAGTGTCCCCAATGACCCTAGCATGCCTGTGCCCTCAGTGACCCCTGTGAACTCCTGTGACCCCCATGCCTTCAGTGAACACTGCAATCCCGTGACTTCAGTGACTCCGTGATCCCTAAAAACTCCTGTGACCCTGTACCTCCAGTGACCCCAGCATGTCCGTTGTATGCTCCAGTAACCCTGTGTTCCAAGAACCCACACACTTCTGTGTCTGCAGTGACCTCTGTGTTTCCAGTGAGCCCAGAGAACCCAGAGCATCCTGTGGCCTCCTATGACTCCAGTCCGCACGGACACCTGCGTCTCCATGTGACCTCAACTGCATTCCTGCATTTCCTGGATTGTCTCTCCACATGTGAATAATGACCCATGTCCATGACACAGTGGCAATTCCAAAAGTCATCATGTGAAATGTACAGGACAGAAATGGAGGAAATGGTGCTATTAAGCATAATCCTGGTCACAGAAAAGGGTCATAAATATTTCTCTTGAACTATTGTAGAAACTGATATTACACAAATTTGCAAAGGAAGCAGTGTGCAATATGCTGTTATCTGTCATGATACTTGCCATTCATTCTTAGAAGAAATTATTTATTACCTTTTCTCCTCGGCACCGAAATGGCCCGCGTGCAGCAATCATCTCATACAGAGTTACACCCAAGGAAAAGTAATCCACTGAGTAATCATATTCTTCTCCATTCAGCAATTCTGGAGCCATAAATCCTGTAAAGAAGATCTATGTAATCGTAGAGTACAGATGTAAATGCTCTACAATGTATTATATTGAGCTGTATTGTTCATACACACTGGGAGCATTGGAGTTACACAAATAAACACACACAAAGGACACAACAAAGAAATGTTTTACAATGCAATGACCCACAAAGCAAGTTTGTAGGAAATCAGAAAACAATACTTTGCAACATTCAACTGATAAACTATCTTGCAATTGATAACAACTCTAGCATTAGCTTTTGTAATATGTAATATGGGGATGCCAAGTAACATTGCAATTATAACCCCTTACCAATTACTGTCATCAGAGGACAGTATACAGGCCATTTGCCTGTAGCCTACACTACATCTGGTTTCTGCGCTATGTACCTGATTTCTGACTGACAGAAGCCATAACTGACAATTTTTATGCTGCAATGCACTCATACTGTATATACAGTGCAGATCAGAAACTGCTAGAAGCAGTCAGCTCTTCCCATCCCCCATATGGGATTGCAGAAATTCAGCTGTAAAACACAGATTGTATACCTGGAGATTACTATGATGCAGTCCTGGTCTGGCGATATATGCATATATTGGGTAAATGTTTGCAGGAACGGTCTGCTTCTAGCTGTTTGAGATGCTTCTCTAATGTATTCTCAGTATATATAAGAAAATCTTTTTAAAGTGAGGAAAACTGCTCTTAAACAGTTGCCTTTGGATCAAATATCCTTATTAGAAGATTTCCCTTTTATAGTTGTTCTGGTGACAAAATGTTGGATTTTCCCTCACTTTCAGTCCCAATGACAATGATCCCCAGGACATATACAGAGAGTGAACCTCCCTAACACCTCCCTGACAGGGACATAGACAGCAATAAAGACATCGGGAAATGGAAGAAATGTGTCTGATGCTGGATCTCTGAACCCCTTGCCCATTGTAAAAATACGAGCGGACGGTGGATCCTTCCCGGCGGGTGGACATGTAGGTGATTTTTTTTTTGCTCGCGCCAGCCGATCGCTTGTATAACCTTGCATGGCGGCACCTCCCCCGCGATAGGCCCCCTCCGTTGCTGCTGCTGGTTGTCCCGGGCACCGCTGTCCCCACTGTGATAGCAATCAAGTTAAATGCAAAAAAAAAAAATTAAAGTCTCATATTAAAAAAAAAAGCACCCAAAAAAGTTTTGAGTCCCTCGCCCCTGCGTGCACGCACTTATACACGCAAATACGTGTCAAAAAAACGATTACGCCACACATGTGATGCGAATGTCACAGTGAGAGCAATAATACTAGGCCCATCAATCACTGATAACACTAAACTGATGAGCGGTAAAAGCTTTTAAAGTGTCACCTATGGCCAATTCTGGGCACGGTAGTTTTTTGCAATTTTGTGGGCGCACGCAATTTGAAAGCTTGACATGTTTTGATGTCTATTTACCCGACGTGACCCCGTTTTTTATATTTTACAAAAAAGTTGGGTAATAATAATAAATGTTTTATAACATAATAAAGGGAAAACATGTTTTTTTTTTAAATGTTGGTTCTTTTTTCATTATATAGTAAAAAGTTTAATCTCAGTGGTGATTAAATACCACCAAAAGAAATTCATTTCAGTACAGCGTTGCATGATGGAATAAATGTCAGTCAAAGTACCGCAGCGCTGAATACTGAAAAATGTCCTGGGCAGGAAGGGGGTTTAATAACCCGGTCAGCAAGTGGTTAAAAGAGAACTATGGGGTAAGTGCTTTCCCCATAGTTCTCTTAATGGTCATGGGAGTACATATACTAGCATCCTCTCGTGACCCGTATACTGAGACCGCCGCAGCCGGGACGGACCCTGAGATTACTGTCGAGATCCACCCAGCTGCATGAGTGACAGCTGGCTCTGCCTATCTAGAGGCGCTGGAGGATCGGAGCGGGAGGAGGGGAATCCCTGCAGGGAGCGGTGACTGACAGTCACTGCTCTCTGAAGAGACATGTTCAAAAAGTGAGCGTGCGACGTTATGCGTTCGCTCACTTCCCTATCTATTGAGCTGATGTGTGACAGTTTCATGGTCACACGTTGGCTCGAACTATGAGGATGAAAGATTTTCACTCACCTCATAGTTCTACTTTAGAGCCGTAGATGTTCTCGGATGTTGAGTAGTGTAGAGGGATTCTCCTTAGGAAGCTATCTCAGAAGTGGTGGCTGAAGGTCTGCACTGTGCCTGAGCAGGGACTGGGTGTGCAAGGAGAAAAGTGCTAAAAAAAAGAGAGGGATCCTGAGGAATAGTTATTATGATTGCTCCAGGTGTCAGTTAAGCTTTAAGGGCCTGTTCACATGACGCCCGTTTTCTGTGCTGACCTGATCCGTACGCTCCTGCACTAAAAATGCATCCCAATGTATCCCTATGTGTTTTATGGGCTACAGTTCACGTGCACAATCCATTCAGGTCAGGAAACTGTCAGGAAACGCAGAACGCATCAAAATGCGTCAAAAACGCACTGCACTGCAGCTAACACACTGACAGCCCCACTCCAGCAAAAAATATATATATATATTTTTTTTTTTACTGGAACGCATCAAAAACGCGGCAAAAACACGGCCAAAACACATAGCACCGCGTCTGCTGATCCGGACCTGATCAGGACCTGAAACTCATATGAACAGGCCCTAAAGGAGAACTATGAGGCGAGTGTAAATCACTCAGCCTCATAGTTCTAGCCAACCTGTGACAATGAAACTGTCACAGGTCGGCTCAATAGATCGGGAAGTGAGCGAACACATAGTGTCACTCGCTCACTTCTCGATCTATCCCTGCAGAGAGCCGTGACTGTCACTCACGGCTCCCTGCAGGGATTCCCTCTCTCCCCTGTCCGATCCTCCAGCGCTGACTGGCGGACCGGACGGGGGAGGGGGCGGATACAGCTGGCTCTACCTCTAGATAGTCAGAGTCAGCTGTCAATCCCGCAGCTGGGTGGATCTCGACAGTAAAGTTGGGATCCATCCCGGCTGCGGCGTCTCAGTATACCGCAAGCTGTAGCTCACTGTATACTGAGCTTTAGGTGATGGGAGGACGCTTGTTTGTGTCCTCCCGTTACCCTTAGGACAACTATGGGGAAAAGCCCTAACCCCATTAGTTCTCCTTTAAGGTTAAGACTTAACTGGCATCTAGAGTGATCACCCTCATTACTTCTCAGGATTTCTCGAAATCTATTGATATAGCACACACTTTGTTCAACAGTGCCAAGTTTTCAGGAAGGGGGACCAATCCTAAAAAATGACTTTTTATGTTTTAAGAATATGAATAAAAATAGAATTGGGCATTATATGTTTTGCTTTTGGCCCTTGTTGCCTTGAACACCCAATAATAAAGACCTGACAGGGAATCAAAGCCATAATTACTCTATCAAAAAACAGAATAAAAATTTGATACACTTTAATGCTGAAGAGCACAACACAATAAATGTCCAGCGTACTGCATCTACCACCAAATGGAACTGTTTTTTTAGTGCAGCTCAATTTATATCAGTACTCCCAACCCTTTGGTACCACTCACAGGATCTGCCACTCCCCAAACAATGTCAATCAGTACAAATGTAAAACCCCCCAACTCATATTCAAAAAGCTCAAAGTAACTTAATTGATTCAGAAGAAATGAGAACACGCCACCCACTTCTCCCTCTGATGAACTTTGCCACCTGCTTGGGCTTAATCATAATGCAAGGAAACATGGGGAAAAATAAGAGTATTTATACATAAAATAAGAACACTCCCTCTTAATTCTTCAAATGATGAGATCTCCCTATTTACAGATAGCTTTCATGAGCCAATATTCCACACAAATTACCTTTTTTTATTAGGGGCCAAAACACGTCAAGGTAACACTGCCTCCTCAAACACATAGACCTACAGCAAGTGAATACTTCTACTTTTACATTCATATGTTCCAAAAAGTTGATGTGCAAAGGCTGTGATTCATATTCACCTTTTGAAAATGCTAGTTGTCTGGTTGTCATGCTGAATCAATAGTTTCAGTATTTTGTGAGTCACTGACCCAAAAGAAGTATGCATATTTAAAGTTCTGACTTTACTGATCTGCACCAGTGAGACAGAAGGTATTAAAGACATTGGATCAGCATGAAAGCCAGAAATCTAGTGTTTTTAGGAGGAGGTTAGCAATAGCAGGGTCCGTATTTTTAAAACAGGTCCCCTATGAGGCCTTGGGCAGCACCAGTCCACTGATTGCAAAACAGCAGCACTGTAATGTGCTCCCACAAGATGCATGGAGCTTGAAATGCTACACAATCACTTAGGCCTGGTTCACACCTGTACGTTTTGTAGCGCGTTCAACGCTCAACGAACGCTCTACAAAACGCTCAAACAGGAAAATCCCATTGTTTTCTATGGGTATGGTTCACACCTTGCCGTATTTCAGCCCGTCTGAATGCGCCACCAAACGGCCTACGCCTGAAAAGGTACATGAGCTTCTTTGCGGCGTTTTTGTCGCGCGTTTCCATTGGGATACAGCCAAGTAGCCCTCGAAAACGCGCGAATCTCGGTAAAAACGTGCGTCATGACACGCGCGACAAACGTGCATATTCGATACGCCTAGGTGTGAACAGAGCCTTAGGCTGGGTTCACACCTGAGCGTTTTTTTTTATGCTCGTTTTTCAGCTAGTTTTTGAGCGTTTTTTCGTTCAGTGAAACGCGCGTTTCACTGGCGGTATGATTTTTTTTCTTTATTTTCCCTATTGAAAATTTTTTTTTGTTAGTTTCACTTTTAAACTTCCCGCCGGCTCCGCCCCCCTGCGACGCGCCCGCTCGCAGGGGGACGGAACCCGGAAGTCGGAAGCCGCCGAAGACACAGCGGGGATCGCGGACAAGGTAAGACCTGTACGCTGTATTCCCGAGTGTGGCATGGGGTTACCGCTTTGTTAACCCCCAATCCACACTCGGGAATACCAATGGCAATGCGCAGCAAAACGCCCCAAAGAAGCTCCTGTACTTCTTTGGGCGTAGGGCGTTTTGTAGCGCATTCATACGGCCTGTAATACGCCCAGGTGTGAACCATACCCATAGGAAATAATGGGATTTCGGTGTTTGAGCGTTTTGCAGAGCGTAGGAACGCGCTACAAAACACCCAGGTGTGAACCAGGCCTAAAGCTGGCCATACACCTTACAATTATCTGCAGATTTTCTGTGGTCAGATGGAAAAGGTGCAACAGATTATTCCTCCATCTAGGCTAAACTGTGTGGATGGAGGAATCTCCACCTGGGCCAATCTGTTGCACTTTTTCCATCTGATCACAGAAAATCTACAGATAATTGTAAGGTGTATGAGCACCTTTACAGTAAGAGAAAGGAGGTGGTCCCATTGTGCCACAAAGGAAAAGTGAAGACACCTGTTCCTACATTAATTGACCACTAAATGACATTACAAATTACAGAGCACTGAATCATTTCAGTTTTTCTTCATCCAACTCTAGTGCAAATTGACATTAAACTATGAACACAAAATCAATGTCACTGTCAATGCTTGTCTGTAATTCATTATAAAATGTTCCACAGTAAAGAGGACGGGAGAACTTATACTTTTTGCACAGTCAAATGCACGCACGTTACCTGGAGTTCCAGCATAGCCCTTGGTTTTGTTTTTCTTTTCCTTCAGTTCCACAGCAAGCCCAAGGTCAGAAATACGGACATTTCCTGAAAAGTAAACACAGACTTTGTTCTACAAGACCACACTTGCTTCTCTGCCAGCCAGGGATATCAGCGTTCTAATTTCAAATAATCATAGTCTTAAAGTAAAAACATTTTAACGGAAACGTATATGGACTTGATCACTGAGATAAGTAAAAATAATGGGAAAAGAGTTGTTTGAATGTTTATGTTATGCACACAGCACAAGTCAAAATACCTCACGTCACATGCCTTGTACTCATGCTAGTATATAATCTGTGTAAAATCTAGTATATTATTTGCATGTTACAAAAGCAAATATGCCATCTGATTACAACCCCCAAAGGAAGACATGTGAAGGTGCAGTTGTGGCAACTTTGGTTTTAGTCCTGATTCAGACTTGAGCATTTGGTACATTGAAGCCCAAAACACTCAACAACCAAAATCCCGTGCTTTTAAATTGTGACTGTTCGATTTGAGTGCTCAGACACCGGTAGCCGGACTCCTGAAGCTCTAAAAGGTGCATGAGCTACTTTTAAAGCACACTTTTGGCTTCATAGACGTCAATGGAAGCACCTGAAAAACACATGAAAATGCCTGAAAATGAGAGTTTTTCAGGGCTAACAAATATCTCCTTCTCCTAGTACTTAGCTTTCCATTGGCTAAAACAAAAACATTCAAGACTGAATACGCCTGAAAAATGAAGCAAAAACACACAAATACAAATGTCCCTAAATCACCTGTAAATGCTCATATTCATGTGTGAATACAGCCTTAAAGTGTTAAAAGTGTCTATATTATAAGGATAATTGGAATAAAGCTGGTTTCAAAAATAATATAAGTTCTATAATTGGAACACACATAGTTCTGAGTTAGGGGCCACACTGTACAGAGAACAGCAGTGTGGCTTTACTGTATTTGCAAATGTTAGCAATATAAAACACTGCTTCTTAAAGCAGTATAAAACACTGCCTGAATAGTTGAAACAGTTTAGTTCCGTTTTAGTATTGTTTGCTGGATAGCATGAAAATGTGCCCGGGAAGTTTTGTATTGCTCTGTGCATTGTTCATCATGTGCACTTTTCCCCTTTTTGCTAGTTTTAAATTGATCTGAGCAGTTGCCATTTCGGCTTTAGCTGGATTTGATGAACACACACACAGGGTGTCTTTAGCTGCCTTTGAGCTGTGCTGGGCTTTTAGTGTGTGGCTGAACCTTTACGGAGGTCAACTTTTGCATTGCTATATATATCCCATAGCTAAAAACTTAGTTTTGCGTTAGGAACCACATTTCACAGAAGTGGCTTGAAGTAGCATTGTGGCTTCACATGTATGTTTTGTTGGAAATACAACAGCATACACACTGATTTGTATTACTGACATTCAGAGATGTAATATTTCTTTTGAGCTGTAGATGGCAGTAAACTGCAATGTTAGTCTCTAGTGCTTACTCATCTATGATATATGCAGGAAGTTTTATCTGTTATGTTTCCTGCACGATGCTGTATACAAACATGTAATGTCCTTATAAGCGAGTAAAACTTAATTCAGCGTTCTACAAGATCTCAGTGTTTCATCTAAATATATAACCAACAGGTTATGGGCCCAGGTACTAAACAGAACAATGCAAGTCAACAAGAGCTGCATCCAAGCTACTGAAAGATGGCAAGCTGTTGAGATATGAAGAACAATAGCAACTACCAGCTATGGAAGTTCAAGCTTGAAAGGGCTGCTAAGCAAAGACGACTTGTGACAAGTACTGAGTACAGACAGACCCAGTAATGGACCCACAGAGGAATGAGACAAGAAGAACAGGCAAGCAAAAGCTCTTATAAGTCTGCTAGTTGATGATGACCAGCTCATCCACTTTAGAAAAGAAAATGCAGCTAAAGGTATGTGGATTGCATTACAGAAAAAACTGCATGAGCGTTCAAACCTAAACAGTAAACTATATCTGCTATGCAAGCTATATAAGATGAGGCTAAAAAAAGGCCAGAAAATGTGTGAACATGTGAATGCTATGCTGGAAATTGTAGAACAGCTACATGTAACTGGAGAGGAAATTAAAGATAACCACGTGGTGGCATTACTGCTATGCAGCCTTCCAGATTTATACTGTGCTCTAATTAACACTCTAGAAACCAGACCTGAGCAGGAACTAACACTAGAATGCACCAAAGGAAAATGAATCGATGAATATGACAGAAGGAAAGAAAATATGCACAATGAAGGAAACGGTAAAGTTCTTAAGGTGCATGAGAGCGCAAAGCCAAATAAAGAGGGCAGAGCGTGTTTTCGCTGTAAAAAGACTGGTCACCTGAAAAAGGCCTGTCACAACCGGCAAAGCAAGCAGAGAAAGCGAAAGGCACCTACAAGAGAAAGGGGTAAGGCAGCCACAAAGGACACTGCAGGCCCATCATGGAACGCTACCTTTAAAGTGACTCAGAACAGTATACCACACGGATAGTGTATTTACTCAGGCACAAGAAGTCACATAACTAGTGATGAGACCTTTTTCACAGAAATTGATTTCAGTGCAAAAGTATTGCTGCAGAAGGTGACGGTCAAGGATTCTTGAACTGCATCACAAATTCAGGGGACAAGCAGACTATCCTCATAAAAAATGTACTGTATGTCCTAGACCTGGAAGGAAGCCTTCTATCAGTGAAAACCCTTGCTAATAATGGTCTCACAGTTTGATTTCAAGGTGATAAATGTACAATTCTAAACAATAAGCAAATCCTCACAAAAGGAAAATTGGATGTACACCTATACAGACTCTGCACCGCAGACAAACAAGTCAAGACAGCCACTCATAATCCACACAATAAATGTAACCATCTATGGCACAGACGATTAGGGCACTGAAACCCAGAAGCCATAAAATACATTATAAAGAGGAACTTATCAGAATCTACAACCGTAATGCCCTGCCAAATGCTCATGACATGCAAATGCTGTATGGAAGCAAAGGCTACTCGTACCCCACTTCCACAGGTCACCCAAAGAAAGACCACCCACCCCTTGGAGCTCATACACATGTTTGGACTAATGAAAACTCCCACATCAGGCGGGAACAGATATCTACTGACTTTCATTGATGATTATTCCAGGTATACAACAACTTATCTGATGAAGCACAAGAATGAAACATCAGAAAATCTTCAAGAGTTTGAAGCTACTCTATGTCCATCAACAAATGCCAACGGAAACCAGGAATTATACGTACCGATAATGAAGGAGAATACATCAGTAAGGATGTATAGTACACCAGACAACAACACCATACACTTCTGAACAAAATGGTATAGCAGAACGGAAAAATCGCACTCTCATAGAAATGGCCAGATGAATGCTGTCAGACCCCAATCTACCGAAATACTGGGGAGAAGCAGTCATGACTGCAACATTCCTACAGAACAGACTACCAGCAAAAGCCATTGAAAGCACCACATTTGAAATATGCCATGGATCGAAGCCTAGCTTAGGGCACATCAGAGTGTTTGGATGTGAATCTTACGCCTATATTCCAAAGAAGAAGCGATCCACATTGGAGTACACAGCCATTGAAGGTATTCTGGTGGGCTATAGTGGACAAAGTAAGGGATATAGAATCCTCCACCCAAAGACTGACAAAGTGACAATAAGTCGCAGTGTTTATTTAGAAGAGAATCCATCACCAGAAACCTTAATCCCAAGAAGTTGTGAAGTAAATTTGCCCAGTGAACCAGCAAAGGAAGCTGAGCAAAGTGAAGCCGCACAGGATTCAAAACAAGAGGTGGAACTCACAATGGATAAGTCAAATTCCATGTTAAATTCTGCAGAACAACCTAAAATTAGAAGATCCTCTCGAGCAACAAAGGGAATACCACCCTGCAAGCTGTCATATACTGCTAAGACACATAGTATACTCAAACCAACATTGTGGGACGACATAGAAAAATTATTAAATTGCAAAAGCCAATAAATGGAGCAAGGCGGCAGAATAAGAAATGGATGCGGATGCACTCGCCAAGTCATTGCCAAAAGATCATCACAGTTTCCTGCGAGAGAAGCTAAACATCATATTGCAACGCATATTTATCTGTTCTGTTTCCTGCACGATGCTGTATCCACACATGTAATGTCCTTATAAGCAAGTAAAACTTAATTCAGCATTCCTCAAGATCTCAGTGCCAGACTACAGTTTCTATTTCTGCACATACAAGAAGGTATGTTCTTGGCTGTTCTTGTTGGGTTCACTCTGCCTCCTGCCCAGTTTGGCATCCAGGACACTTTATTCACTCATACATTAGATTCTTCTATGATGTTGTGAGATTTAGTCTGGGAGCCCCATTGACATAGAGGATATCAGTGATCTCTGATTTTTTTTCCAATATTTTTTTTTTTATGGACTTCTGAAAGTGTCACTGTGGATGAGCTTTCTTCAGTTGCTGGGATCTTTGTTTCCCTATTTTTTTCGGATATCTACACTTTCAACTAATGTATGAAGTCAGATCTACTTATGTGATCCCTGCATTACTAGGATCTTATTGTTAGCCAATAGATGAAGATATATTCACTTTGGGATCCTATTAACTATTAGGATCCTATTTCTATTAGATCTGGGAAGGTGAAGCCCTATATTCATCTATAACAGATATAAGGATCTTTTTTCCTCTATATCTGTTTCATGCCTCCACATTGCCTATGTTATATCCCCTACGACCTGCTCCCAGGACAATTCTTAGCCGGTGACCACAACATCTCTTTTTCTACATATTTGGTCCATTATTTTTAAAATTCCCTTATACCTCCTGAGGAAGCAGATTTCTGTGAAACCTGTTGAGAAATTGATCATGTCCCACTGTGTGATACAGCTGTTCATTAGAACACTTGCTGGATTTCTATTTGGCAAATTGCAAACATGAGTGAACAATGGTGGTTATGGGGCACTTACTTGGGGATGAACTTCCGTTCATCGATCCCCTCCCCGTTCTATGGGACCGGGAGCGATGCAGATTGCATCACTTCCGGTCCCTGGGCTGTCAGTTCTGGGCTCCTGCAGCCCAGCTATAAGCTATTGAAGTGCGATCTGCACTTCAATAGCTTATTTCCAGTGTAAAGGTGACACTGAGGGTCTTTTGGACCCCCAGCATCACCTTAAAGAGGACCTGTCACCACCATCTGCTATTACATGGGGGGGCTTGCAAGCCCCCCCATGTGATAGCAGTCAAAGTAAAGTAAAAAAAAAAAAAAAAACAGTTTTTAAAATTAAAATGAAATAAAATAAATCTAATAATAATAAAAAAAAAATTTTAAAAGTACCCCGCCCCCGCGAGCACGCGCGTCGCCACGTAAACACGCGTCGGGTGCGCCTACGCATGAAAACGACGAACGCGCTACACATGTTGGGTATCGCCGCGCACGCCGGAGTGAGAGCAATAATTCTAGGGCCAGTATTTTGGGGTATCTCTAAATTGATGACCTGTGGGGGCTTTTAAAGTGTATTTTATTGACTTTTTGGGGTACTGCAGTTTTTCGCCGTTTCGCGGTCGCACGCAATCTGTAAACTGGGCATGTTGGGTATCGTTTTACTCGTTGTAACCTCATCTTTTATATTTCATTAAAAAAATGGGTAATTTGTTGTGTTTTGGGGCATTTAATTAAATTTGTCACTAAATTTTGGGGTTTAATAAGGAGTTGCGCTAATATTGCGCAACATAAACATTTTCAACTACCACCATTTTATTCTATAGGGTCTTGGCATTCAGAAAATATATAATGTTGGGGGGTTTTACGTCATTTTCAGGCCTAAAATGTGGAATATAACATGGGTGCAAAAATGGAAAAAAGGGCCTCAGTCATGAAGGGGTTAACCATCTAGCATTATAATTTATAATGTATAAAAAGAATAAAGTATAATAAATAAGCATACCATCATTATCTAATAATACATTTTCTGGTTTCAGATCCCGATAGATGATCCTGTTTTGATGTAAGTGTTCCATGCCACATATGATCTGAGCAGTGTAAAAACAGGCTCGAGGTTCATCAAGACCTGGATTTTCCTCATCAACATTGTAAATGTGGAACCTTAATGCAAATAAATTACAACAGTCAATAATGATATAGCAAGCCAAGTTTCTGAAACAAGCAACTATTTTGTTACCCTAGTTTTTACAAAAAGACAGCAAGAAGAACACAAATAATTTCCAGTAAGAATGTTTTGAATCTAAGCTTAAAGCTCAGATTTTGACACACATGCAGATTCATTTAAACAGAGGAACTACAAAATATCAAGAACTATGTGCTAGATAGTGTCTGGTTGGCCAAACGTTCACATTTAGTATTAGGGGGAGAAGTGGCAGTGTTGACAGACACTGCCAGCACCACTTGTCACATTAAGAAACCACTGCAACAGGGATGGGTTTTCGAACCTTTCCAATTGATTGTCACTCCTAAGAGGGGCTGGCCAGCAGTACTTTATAGGACACACAGAAATGAGTTGCCTTAACTGGCTAAAAACATTCAATGTGTATGAGTATCTTTTTTAAATAACTCCATACAGACGCGGACGAACTAAAAGGTTTCTTTTAGTTTGTATACTAAAAAAGAAAATTACCCCTTAAGGCATGTTTGGCTAAGTTATCATTTTAAGAGCTCATGCACACAGGCTTTTGTGTGAGTCTTAAATCAGCTCAGTGTATCTGATAAGCAGCTTGAAGTCTTAAAGCTGTTGTCCGAGGAAATGTTTTTTTAAACTTTAAATGAAAGCAAATTGAAGCAAGTGCCCCAACTTTATTGATGGTGTGCTGGGTAATTGGTCTTCTCAATGCCCCCCACTAATTCTGCAAGGTGCAAGGTGAAGAAGCACTGCAGACTCTGCCTTCCTGCATTAAGGAAGGGTGGAGAAAGGGATAAGGTTTAAAATCGTACTTGCCCCACAACCACTAATTACATTTAGGTCCTTCTTCTCCAACTGTTTTTTTCAGGTGTACATTAGAATCTGATGTTTGGCTGTAAACATGGAAAGGCTCAATCCAACCTAAGTGCAGATGTAGCAGGAAAATAAACGAAATTTGAGTCATGTATGGTCAGCTTTAGTTAAGAGATGGCTGGCTGATCCGCTGTTTGCACATTATCATTGCTCTTTATACTATCTTATTGAATAATCATTTGAAATGCAGTAAGATTACATAATAGTGTATATAAGAACAATGTATTCATCTATAGAAAATACATTCGATTCTGATTATTGTGCCGAGGAAAAGAACATATCTAGTGGCAATTTTAACTAAAAAAGGGAAACAGTTTCATGTTTTCTAATAAATGTTTTATTATTTGTGTTTGTACAAAAAATGGAAAATGAATGAAGGGACATTGCAAAATATACATGCTTAAACAGGTTGGCAAAGAGAGTACTGTGAAAGTTGCTCATTAGCAGGAGAAGGCTATGATTCCTATTCATATATTAAGGGGTGGTATGATAGCCTGATATCATAAATGAGACTACTGAAAGCTGAATGTCACCAGGGAGAGAGTTATGAGCTTTGCATTACCTCACTGAGCGCTCAAGAGCTGCATATTACTAGAGAGTGAGTTATAAAATCAGAGCTTTGCATGAGAAGTGCACGTACAAGAGCTGCATATGACTCAACAAAGTGCACCTAACTACAAGTTATGCAGAACCATGAGATGTGCATATTACTAAAAAGAGCATCATGAGGTGTGCATGTTACTAGAGATAGTGTCATGAGTTGTGCACATTAAAACAGAAAGGACCATGAGATGTGCATGTCACTAGAAAAAGTACCATGAGACGTGCACATCACTATAGAGAGAGCCATGAGATGTGCATGCTAATAGAGAAAGTACCATGAGATGTGCACACTACTAGAGAGATCACCATGAGATTTGCACACAACTAGAGAGATCACCATGAGATGTGCACACTACTAGAGAGATCACCATGAGACGTGCATGTTACTAGAGAGTGAGCCATGAGATGTGCATGTTACTAGAGAAAGAGCCATGAGATGTGCACGGTACTAGAGTGATCAACATGAGACGTGCGTGTTACTAGAGAGAGAGTCAAGAGATGTGTATACTACTAGAGAGATGGCCATGAGATGTACATACTACTAGAGAGATCGCCATGAGATGTGCATGTTACTAGAGAGAGCCATAAAATGTTCACATTACCAGAGGGAGCATCATGAAGTGCCCATATTACCATGAGAAGTTAAAGTAGGTAATAGTGAAAATAGAGAGATGGGTTTATGTGTTCTAAAAGTTAAAAGTGCAGCGTAGTAGGATATTTTCTGGCCTTTCCTCCTGAGAGTAGGACAGAAATTTACAGCTAATGTTAAATTAGTTAATGTTAAATCTGACTTATAATTATAAGGAAATTGCTTCATTTCTCAGAAGGAACATGATGACTCATCTGGCTCATAGTTTTCAATACCCCAATGGCCATGTGCTTCTCCTTTAAGAATAATCAAGAATATTTATATAATCCTAGGTGATTATGGCAATTTTGTAGACATGAGGATTATATCATCTTAACATTACTAATATGCATTATCAGTTACCATAAAATAACTTCATGGTAATGACAGTGACTTACCGTAGGTCACCTCCATTCATTATGGTCATAATTAAGCAGACTTCATTTTTTGTTTGGTATGCATATGCCAGAGAGACAATAAATCTACTGTGAACTTTAGCAAGAATCCTTTTTTCCACCATGGCACCCTGTAATCAAAAAAGAGAATTATGTGAGTCAAGTTTCATAATTTAAAATAATTAATAACCATGTTAGAAATGCAGGATCTAGATTGATTTATCAGAATAGGTCCAGGATTACGAAAGAAAAAACAATTTGTAGCCAGCAACAGCAACACAATTGCTCTGTGACCTATCACCTCCTCTCCCCCACCAAGAACCTTCAAAAATTATGTCTTCATTCTGTCTCTCCTTTTCAAGATGAGTGCTGCTCTAAAATGTATGGGCATTTTTATCTATTACCCTTTTGTCTCCCACAACCCCTAGACCCTCCTCATCACAATTACAAAACAAAATCCTGGACACCATTTACAGGACATAGCTATGGCCTTCTATCCAGCATATGTTAGTCTGTGTAATCTGAATAGTGAACATGTGCACTGGACGTCAAAAGAAAAAAATCACCTGTATTCAACTAATTCACTGATTTATGTACTGGGACTATTACTTGTTAGTGCAGTTATTTGAAGTTTATTGTACAGGGACTCAAGTACGCTGGAGAGAAGGTCAAACTCGATGATGGGCAGTGTGAGGTAGGATTTTTATATTTAGCAGTAATGAGAAGGAGTGGGAGATGGTTCATAGATTAAAGTGCAGCTGCTTCTGTCGAGGCCGCTGCCTGGCTGTGATGCTGGCATTCTTGCTTCAAAACTTTAAGTCACTGACCTGGAACAAGTACACAGTTAGAGACCTCTGACACTTTCCTGTCTGTCCTGATCTGCACACTTGTTCTAGGTCAGTAACTCAAGGTATTCGATCCAAAGGGAAGGCACATCAGCCAAGCAACTAGCATTTAAGAGCATGGTAAACATTGAATTAAATATACGCCCCAGAGTCTCTTTGAAGGAACTCCTCTGTCTATTCTCAGCTAAAAGATGGCTAATATCCAACTGGAAAAGGCAATCATCTTGCACCCTGAGGGATTGCCAACAGGTGCTACACAAATTATGGTGATTGCTAGAATAGATCCAGTAGTTAAAAATATTTCAAAACCTATTCTTAATACTTAGTCAAAATAATACCTGCCAATCTATTAAAGCTTACAGAAAGGCTACAAAAAAGCTTAACAGAGCTCAAATTAGTAATTGTGAACCTAATTTGATGTGAACCCAACTTAAAGGCCAGAAATGGGCTTAAAAAATCCTAGAAAACAGTTCATGACATGCTGTGATCATGCATTGTAAAACCAGTGTAATCACACTCACACAGTTCAGTCTCTCTTTTCACCATTACACGTTGACAGTGAAAAAAATCCATTACACAGATTAGCCCCCTCTTTGAACATTACACTGAAAAGAGGTAGGGAACAGAGGGAACATCTGACATCACACTGAACTGTGGGAGGGGAGACTGAAGATAAGCCTTGAGCACAGTCACTGGAATGGAGACACTAGGGCACTTTGACAAATGCCTCAGGCTGCATCATTATAGGACCACCCGGTCCCTGATGACCACTAGATGGAGCATTTACTAAAATATATATATGTAATACAACAATCAAATATGGAGTAGCAGACAAGTGGGATGTGAAGGCAACAATAAAAGCTACTTCCAAATAAATGTTACAATAAAATCACAAAATGTGTACTTACTGAATATACACTGTAACTGCGCTGTCAATATTAGCAAGTATATTTTTCAGTAAAAATTATACATTTGTACTTGTCCTAGAAATATTTGAAAGCAGGCCAATATGATATGTTACTGTCCTGTTTTCAATAATCCCACCTTCAGCCTCTTAGCTCAGAGTACATCCTGCATCTGACAAACATGCCCTTGGAAGGTGGATTCCTCATGCAGCTTAATGCAAAGCAAGTCTCCTGTCTCCAAACAGCAACCTCTAGTGGTGGCCAGGAACAGCTCAGACACAGCAAATACAAATACACATGGCTAGGCCATGCTGCTGGAAACACAATTCATCTTCAAATAAAAGTAAACACCTGTAAAAGTAATTTTTTTATTACTAAAGATGAAGTTATACATTAAATTAGTTGTATTGTATATGATGCAAACTGAAGATTTAGTGTGATCTTATTTGATTATTAGAGAAAGTGGGCAAACAGAAAGGGAAAGGCAAACAGGCTGTGCACTTTGGAAGGCAATTTGCAAAGGGAATTTTCCTTTAGTTTAGTTAAGCTGGTAAAATGTAACTTTGCCAAGAATACCCAATCATGTGCAAGAAAACTTTTAAAAAAATAATTTTTGCTTGCACATGATCGGATGATGAAAGTCAGCAGAGCTCCACTTCATTCAAGTTAAGGGGAAAAGTGCAAATTTCCTTTCAAAGTGAACAGCCTATTTGCCTTTAGTAAATCAACCCCAGTATTTTGAAATATAAATCTCACTTGATAATACAGAAGTAACATGGTGAAAGTTTCAGTCACATTCAGTAATATTTCATAGTCTTTATAAGGAAAGATTGATTTAATGTCTTCCCATAAAATGATTCATATCCATGTTGTGAAGTATTCAGTGAGATCTCAGCTGAGCAGTCAATTGTCAAGCATCAATCACATAAGAAGAAAGGGAGTGAGTCATATATTTTCCATACCTAGAAGTACTGCATATTTTTCTTGATTCCCAGTGTCCACAAGGTGCTAACAGGGAGTTAAGGTGACACTAAACTCAGGAGTTAAATCTTAAAAATACATTCAAGTAACCCTAACTATTAACAAAAATGTATCTTATTTGTGTATCACTCGGCTGTGGATCCTCAAATCATCTCTGAATTGGTGCTTCTTTCTGGAAGGTGGCTATTTTTATTCCCCATGGTCCCTCATTCCTATAAAGGACTACAATCTCAATACAAATTAGTAAACTAAACATGAGATTGTAGTCCATCACATGAGTAAACATGTAGTGGTGATTACTTTACAACACACACGGGTACCTTGGGGAACAAAAGTAGCCACCCTCCAGAAGTAAGGACAGTGTCAGCACCAATTCAGAGATGATTGGAGGATCTACAGCTGAGTGATACACAAATAAGATACATTTTTGTTAATAGTTAAGGTACTTGAATGCATTTTTAAGATTTAACACGTTTAGTGTCACTTTACACATAGATTAATTTAAGACACTGGTTGAACAGTAGTGACTCTACAGTAGGTGCTTTTTTTTAAAGATCTGTTTATACCCTTTGTTTGTGGTGATAGCCATCATGTTTTATATGGTTTACAGCATGCATTACATGACTGATGCTTCCCCAGAGACAGTTTAGTGGATTTACCCTTTTTTTTAAATCTGTACCTTGAGTGTTGTTTTATGGTTTGATGGTCAAGGAGGTTTGGGGTCAGATTCATGCTCATCTGTATTATGAGTACTGGGAAGGGCTCATGAGAAGAGGAGACGGGGGAGTACTTCAATGATGGGACCCATTTTCTAGGGAGGACAGGGATAGAGGCAGCTGTTTATTTTAATTTAGACAGGGAAATGCAGCATGGGAGCACTCAGGTAATGAGCTAGGATCAAAATTGGTATAAAGTAGTTGCCAGAGTTAAATTCTGGATGCAACTTTATAAGCAATAAAGTAGCATAAAACAGTAAAAGTGGAAGTTATCACAGTTTATGCATTTTGAAGATTGTTTTTGGAGCTTTCCCCCATTACCCTGCTGCCCTAGACACGGGTCAGTAAGCACTATTATGTTTAACATAGCCGTGATCTCACATATGATTGCCAGTACAAAACATAATGTGGATGTGATAAAACGGACTTGATGAGGCCTGAATAAGTGCCCTGAATTTTGGAGACTACCCTGTCCTTGCTTTAAATATTACTATTATTAAAACATACTATAGCAAAGTTTTGCATATGATGTAACTTTGATCTTTGCAATGATAAATATCTTTTTAATTGTTTACGTCAGCATTAAATGCAAATGATTTCAAAATGTTTTTTCTTAACATTATGCTACGACTGCTTTATTTTGATTTCTCAGAAACAACTTAGGTAACCTGAAATGGCAAATATGATTACAGAAATCACAAAAAAATACATGTATTTCTTAGTAGTTCTATTTGATTCTTTGCAAGCATTATTTCAGTAACATAATATTGCATTGTCAAGGAAATGAAATAAAAACAGTCTAGGTTTCTGCTATCGTTTCAAGAAGAAATCTAGACATTGGGCCAATGAATTATTTAAGCTTCATTCAACTAGCTTTCCATCAAGCCGCATAAGCAAATTATTATCATCAGGAAAGCACCTGAGATCTTTAGTACAGTAAGATAAGCACTAAAAAAGCTGTCAAAGGATGTAGATTTCATGTGTGGTTTTGCATTTTTAGGTTGAGAAGGTAAGATAGTGGGAATGATAAAGTATTGACAAGTCTAATAATAGGAAAGGGAATAGAAAACGTTTTATATAACAAAAAAGGATGCTCGTTAATGTTCTTGTGTGATTCACAAAAATATATTGTTTTAGAAATGGTATTTCTAAATGCTATAACTGACTGCACATTTTAAGGTATTCAAAGGGTCAGTTCACTTCAAATTAAACCTCCCTTGTGCTGAGTCTGCAAAACCTGCTGTGGCAATTCTGAGGGGTTCCTCCTCTACCTGTTGCATTGTTTATTTATTTTATATTATATGGAATGCACCAGGAGGAGCGGTAACACACAAAGGTAGGTGGGAACCCCCAAAACTACCAGGTGGACAGCAACATAGTTGGAATTTATGGCCCAGAGATGTCGCTGTTAGGGTATCTAACACATATAGAAAGCCATGGAGTGACACTACCCATCAGGCTACACCTGCAACTAAAATATCACATTTGGATGAATTGACCCATAAGATCATATTTCTGCTAGCTATCAGTATTCTCTGTAGAGCTAATTATCAGGGATAGTCATAAATAAGGTAAGTCTGGTGAACTAGACAAATGAAATATTTCCTGTGTATTTCTGATCTTTTAATTTTGCAACATATGATATACTATTCTCATCTCTACCAGCTATATAATTTCTAAAGCTGTTAAGCATCCAAAATATAAAAAATAAAGCATGTATTTGTTAAAAAAGAGAAATTCTATTTCTGATATTGTTAGTATTATGCTATGGCTTTATATTAAAAAATAGTACTTTCTTTTATTTGAGTATTTATGCCCTGAGTAGCATCCAGCTTCTTGCAGTCTCGCGTTCCAAGGTTCAATGTAATAACATACAAGCAGAGAGCTTTGCTTGGCACTGTTTTTTTTATCCCTACAATAGTGTTTCCGGTTTCCTGTTGGTTTCCTGTTTTTCACAAACTAAAAGCTGAAAGTTATTTATTTTAAACAACACTAACCTAACCAGCCTTAGTTCCTACCTGGAACGATAGGGAAAATATAGTCCTAGTGTCCCCCCTGACCTACAATTGAGATACACTATTATCATGCATATAGTAGGTATAGGAAGAATTGGGAAATCTTTATATTTACATCCTTTTGGAAAATATATAATGTATGTAAATTCCCAGCAAGTAAGAAAGCCTTTAGAAAACCTATGATGCTCCATACACAAGTTTTGTTTCTTTGTATTGCAAAATTTACATTTACATTTCCTGTATATCTAAGTGAATAAAGTTTAAAGACTGTGACTGTTTAAAGAAAAAAAAAGATTTGAACAGCATCAGAACCAGAGACAAATTCTGTTAAGTGTGATTAACCATGACCTTCAAAAGACTAAGCTTCTACAGAACAGCCTGGTCATGTGACCTTCAGCAAATCACAGAGCTCCCAAACACATACTGGCTAAACCTGGCTCTCTTTCCAAAAAAATCAGTTGACATGTTATGTATGCAAAAATCAAATGCTTACATCAAATCCCTTTCTTTTCTTCAAGCGTTTCTTGTTGAGTTTCTTGCAAGCATACATTTTCCCTGTTGCCCTCATTTGAGAAGCTGAAACCTCCCCAAATCCACCTTTGCCAAGAATTCTAAAGTCCATGAACCAGTCCTCTCCAACGGGCTGAGCTTCTAGCCATTTCCATTGAAGAAATCTGGAAAAGATTTTTCCCTCCTTGTACTGTGAAAATGCATTTTCCTTTAAATAATCCAAAGTAGATTGAAGTAGCTCTTTAAAAAGCCCATCCGGGACCTTGTTGCACTCCTCAACTACTGGTGCAATTATTTTCTCATCTAAATAGATACAAAAATATTTTGAATGTGTTTCAAGATATTTGTTGATGATGCCAACAGCTTTTTGCAACCTGTCCTCATCCTCGGCAACATCGTAATCCTCAATATCACCCCAAATTTCTAGAGCAGGGACGAATTGCTCCACAGTTCCCAGAAACTCCTGAAACAACTTCTTTCCAATGGGTTGCTTGACACAAATATTGTCAAATTCCAGATCAAGCTGATCCTTTAGATGCTCACAATCTGATAGTGGAGGCAGTTTAAGCTTGGCACGAAACTTCTTATTTCTTGTAATTTGAGGGTTGAAGCCTCCATCAAAGCTACCACGAGCTGTTATATACGCTGAATTGGCTACCACTGTTTCCAATGCACCAAAATCCATCTTTGATTGTTTAGTCTCCTGGACCAAACATGAACCACTTGGTAGCTAGAGAAAGCAAATCTTGACTGAAAGGAAGTGTAGCTCACACTGCATTCAGTGCTTCCAGGCTTAGTAAAATCCCCTTGAATTATAGACTAAGGACTTGAATCGGGTACTGCGTGTCTATGATACAGTGCATGAAAAAAGGGCAGGTACACAAGCTCATGACCTAAAATCTTTACAAAAAAGTTTTTAAAAAATACAAAAATAAAAACAAGATGGAAAATCACCCCTGATGTACAGCAGTAATCCAGAGCTTCAGTGATATAATGCAAGAATGCCTTCTTAAAGGAGATAGCGAAATGACAGGTGAGGAACTAATACCCCTGAGTCAACACCTCTATAAACTCTTTATCCACTTAGGTAGATAATGCGACTCTCTTTCCCTCTCTCTCTCCATCATTATCTCTTAAACTTACTTTGTTCTCTCTGCAACATGAACAAAACACAATTTATTATTTCAAATACTTCCTACAGGTCTGCTGTGTTGCTCTGCAAGAAAGAATTTAAAATAATGTACCGTTAAAACAATAAAGTGGCACTATATGCAAATATATATATATATATATATATATTTGACCATTTTAGCTAACCAGATTGTCTTTTAACATTTAACATAAGATTCTTTTCAGCAGAAACACATTCTATTCTATATTACGTATATGTATAAAAAAAGGAAAGAAAATAAACTGCACCAGGTTCTTCTTGCAAAGACAAGCCAGTTCTCTCATTGTAGTGAAAATAGGATTACAGTCTTTGCAGACATATATAATACAAAATCTCTAGCTTAGTGCAGGCCTTCAAGAGTGTGTGTTCCAGTGGCTGCTAGCTATCTACAGACCGCAAATGTTACAGAAGTGTGTGATATAATTCCTGTTATTAACTGTAACCTACAAAAAGAGTGCCAACTGCATCTGAATCTGAAACCACAATCTTTATAAAAAGAAAAAAACATGAAAGTATACATAAAGAAATGATGTGCAGTTGAACCAGGGACATAAAACTTGTAATGATTTTGTAATTTAATAGTTACTACCAGTTTCTCACCTATTCTACAGACATCTTAAGATATTCATAGACTTGAGTTGATCATAGTCTGATCTACATACCTAGGAGCTTTCTAAAGACGGTGAGCCTGAGATTGGGGCATGTTGAGAGGAGAGATAAGGGGAGGGGCTAATAACAGCACACCAGGCTGAAATGGGAGCAATGGTTTAATAGAGGCGCACATGAGGGTCTATTCACGAAGCAGCTGAAGGATCTAGTCGTAGATTCGGCCGATCCTTCGGCTAGCTTCGGCCCCAGGACCCCTTCGGTTCAGTAGAACCGAATAATAAAAAAATTAAAAAATATGAAAAAAATATGAAAAAATTATTTTAAAAAAGTGAAAACTGACCCCCACACACACACACACACACACACACACACAAACGTATTATTAGACAAGTGCGAAGACTAAAAATTCATTTCAGATGAAATGAACGAAAACTAAAAAAGTTTTCATTTGTTTCATCAAACAAAACACATTTATGTGCTATTTTGTATTCAGCCGCTGGCGTGTTCTGGAGGCAGGGCGCATGACGTCATATAAAACCGCACGTGTTGGGCACCGCCATCTTGGTGTATATCTAGGTATACACCAAGATGGTGGGGCCAATATCGGCGTGTGAGGTCACCTGACGCCATGCATGCATGGCGTCATGTAACGTCATGCTCCCTGCCTCCAAGATGGTGGTACGCATTCACAGAACACGCCGGTGGCCAACATAGCCGCCGCACATTCTCAAACAAATTATTATTATGTGTCTGAATAAATTTCTTGTATATTCGGACATATAGTAATTCATTAATTTACATGTTGCAGTCAAACAGTTAGCTAACAGTGGTGTGGTTTTAGAGTGAGAGGCCTGCAAAATGGCTATTTAAACCATGTTTTCAAACTTTTTTCACTTATGGCACCTTTTAAAAGTATAGAAAGTCCTACCCCAGTTTAATATATATATCAACAAAGATTAGATGGGGCTTTCCAGGTGACTACTTGGGAATATATCCACAAAATATGTCAAATGGGTCATATAGATAGTAACATTCACTTTTAATACAATTGATTCATAATCAACATATAAATAAATAAATAAATAAATAAAGAGCAACAGATCCATTGATCTAAGAAAGTAAAAACAATGGTAGATGTATATAACAGTGGTGTGGTTTTAGAGTGAGAGGCCTGCAAAATGGCTATTTAAACCATTTTTTTCAACCTCTTTTCAGTCATGGCACCTTTTAAAAGTATTGAAAGTCTTACCCCAGTTTAAAATGTAAATGTGAAAAATGACGGGTGGTTCCGCCCAAAAACTATACCAGACCCTTACCTAGATAGGAGTCTGACATGGAATTTAATGGGGGGACCCCATGCAACTTGGACCCTGGTTGAGAAAGGCTGCTCTAAACAAACAAGTCCAAAGTGCCAATGATCCAACAGAGCACAAAAGCCTTTCTTTTCATCCTTGTCCAATCTGAGCACTACTTTGCTATTAGTAAGTCACATTTCATTAGATGTGAATGTCATACAGCCAGCAGTTAGGTAAGGTTGGTTTTACACCAGGTATTAAGAAAATAGAAATAAATACCAACTTGTTCATAAGGTGCAGACCAGCTATTTTTATGAACCTTATGCTCTGCCACATTTAAAAACCCGATTTGGTGTTCTATGGCACAATTATGTGAGTAAATGCATTTAGGCAATATTAACTGCTCCAAAAGCTTTATCTAAAAGTAGGGATAAACAATGTTCATGTTGAGCAGGACTAATAAAGCTTAAAGCAGACCGAGCGCCCGACTTTTCAGAGGGGGGGTGACAACAAAATGACTGTGAGTCATTTTGGTGTCACCCCTCCAATGGTGTCACCCGGGTGCGGGCCGCACCCCCCTTGTAACGCCGCTGCTTTACCGCGCTCTCCTGTGCCCTGTACTGCCTCTGTGCTGAGCGGCTTCCCCTCTGCTGTGAAAACACAGTGGCCATTCAGCAAATGCCTAGTATTTTTATCAGTGTTGTCACCATCCCTCATCTAATCAGAGAATGCCTAGTATTCAATGATACAAATACTAGGTGCTCGCTAAATTGTTGCTATGAGCTGCCGACTCAGACTGTCATGGCATGTCTCATGCTGATCGGTGGCTGGGTATAAATTGCTCAAGTTGACATACAAGGCCCTGCATGTTGCATCACTGCACTAAAATTCTATCCTAAATAGAGGGGAGTTTAGGAAATCCCCATGCTCTGCTGGATCATAGTGTACAATGAGGTATTAAAATGGCACTCCAATCTAAACTTTTTTGGGGGGACGAGGGGGTGAATAGAGTGTGGAAATGTAAGACCTTATATCAGCCTTTTGTTGCTGTCTATACCCCCACTGAGCAGGCATGTCCTCGTTTCTTTGGAGTTCACTGGGACAGGAAGTGAGTTGAATTTTGCAATGACATGAGGACAGCCATAAAAGCACTTCTTCTAGTACGGGGAAAGGGGAGAAGTATTGTTGAATTGTTAACAGAGAAATTCCCTTTATTTCTTTGTGTGGTTAGTGAGACAGGAAATTAGGGGAAGTGTAAGCCCTTCCTCATTCTGTCTAAACCTAAAGCTTTGACTGTGATTCCATTTAAAGTAAAAGACTCACTTTATAAGCATTGAACATTTTCCCCATCATTAGTAAACAGTGCTATAATTTTTACACTCCTAAAGTGAGGATTTGTGTTCAGTTTACTTGTTCCTGGTCACTTACTGGTCAGCAATGCTAGCCTACATATTTATTTCAGCATATGTTTGACTTTAAGAAGCCATTCCTGCCCTTCTCTTCACTCTCATTTGGATCCAGAAGACAGGATTTCTTCACTAAATTTCCTATTTCTGTCCATGTACTCCAGGTCTTGTGAAAGGGACTCAGTCTTACTGATGACATTTTCATTAATTGCATGCAAATAAAAAAAAAACAGAAGGAGAAAAATTACACTATAAGAGTCAGAGTTGGAAACTACAGCAGGAAAACCTATGCCCCGGGGACATCTGAAATAGATTTTCTAAAAATAACTACGGTCTGTGGAGTTATCCTTTACAGTAAACCAGTACTTTGTCCAATATAAGAAAAGTAATAGGGTCACTGGATAAAGGCACCCTCCAGTGCTTCAATTAGTTTACCTTCCCATAAATCACTGTTTATTATTCTGATGATGTTAATGGTGATGATGTTCAGGGTCAGCTCTGGATAGGCACTGCATCGTGGAAAGCAAAGAGAAAAATTTATGTGTTCCTCCATATCCAGCAGTACTGAGATTTCTTGGGACTTTGGTAATTGAATAGGGCAATCAATGGAGTGAGTGAGAATATGTGCAAGCACAAGATGGTGCCTGCTATCCAGTGAACCTGTTATTTGCCCTGACTGAGCAAAGTTACAAAGTTAACTACAGTATACTGTATATAAAAGGACGTGTGCGCCTAAAGTTCTGGTCCACTCATTTGGCATTTTGTTTTAAATTTTCACTCTCTATAACATTACTTTATTCATCTGTTTGTTCATTTATTTGTGGATAAGAGAACAATGTTAATACTTCAGATTCTGTTTCTGCATTAAAAAAAAACAGTCAAAATCGAGTGTTGAATTTATTTTACATAAGGCTTAATTCTTCTTTGATATATTCTTAATCAACGGGGACCTGCATAGTTCCAGAGATCCTAATGGCAATTGTCATGAGAAGCACAAGAACTCCAGCTGTCCTCCAACACATGTCATTGTAATTTTTGTAGACAGCTATTGTCAGTCACTTTCAATGGTAGGTGATTTCCAATTATCGCACAAGACATAGGCTCTTAATGAATATAGCTTTTGTTTCATACCATTCAGTTAATTTTATCATTATATCTCTACATTCAATGACAGCAAAATCTAATTGACAGCTAAAGAAATTAT